CTTCGGTAGTTTTGCCACACTTGAAATTGGAGAGCAAAGATTTATTTAGCGGAAAGTGTCATTGCAATGTGCATTTACTGAAGTGAAGCCACGAGCATAACCCCCCTCCCTTGCATGGCAATGAGTGAAAATATCTAGAGGTTCCTTAAGTTTCCTCGCTGCAACTTGCGTAACCCACCCCGGCCACGTGCCTCTGGCCCACATCGCATGTCTCGGGAGCACACATTAAGAGGAAGGATTCGCCGAGTTCTCACACCGCCGCTATGAAACCCAACATTTCATCCTTTACCTTGTGACCCTGCGGATACTGGTCTGTGGCCTGTCCCCTCCCCCCTCCCCCCTGTGCCAGATCTGTGTCATGATCACCCCCGCAGCCGTTACTGCATCACCCGTCATCCGCCACTGCACTATCCGTCACCCTCCGCTGCTTGATCCCGTCACTCACCATTACTCGTCACGTCATTCAGCTTTCCTCAATGTCAATGCCTTGACAGTTATCGGCGACTCAGTGACAGGGCCTTATCATCACAGCTTCCTCGTGTGTGACCAGCATGTCTCGGTGACCTGATAGCGCCCTCTATCTGTAACTCTAACACGATTGCCTGACATTGGTGATTACGTCTGTCACGCGGTCTGATCAACTTGATGATTCTTAGAGAAATTTGCGAATCAGCTATACGTGTGTGACTCAAATGAATGCACCTTTGCTAATCTCTCTCTCTCTCTCTCTCTCTCTCTCTCTCTCTCTCTCTCTCTCTCTCTCTCTCTCTCTCTCTCTCTCTCTCTCTCTCTCTCTCTCTCTGCGGGACTTTCACTTATCCTCACTCTTATCATTTCTCTCTCACTTACTTTCACTATCATTTACTCTCTCTCTCTCTCTCTCTCTCTCTCTCTCTCTCTCTCTCTCTCTCTCTCTCTCTCTCTCTCTCTCTCTCTCTCTCTCTCTCTCTCTCTCTCCTCTTCTCTCCCCTATCAATGTCCTTCCGTTTTTATCCTAGTATCTTGCATTCTCTTACTCCATCTTCACTCAGCCACATGTTGATGATCCGGCCGATGCTTTCTAGATGACCGGACTGATGCAGAGGTTAGTCTCTCCGTATGGCTGGTGGACGGACACTGGGGGGTCACTCGCGAGCCAGCAGTCGTGTGGGGATTTCAATGCGTCGCAAATACTAATCTGAGCCCATGTCACAATCAGCTGGTTTCGTTGGTGTAATGATTTTTTGGGATAGAGAGTGAGAGAAAGAGGGAGGGAGGAAGAGAGAAAGAGGGAGGGGGGGGGAGGGAAAGAGAGAGAGTGAGTGGGAGGGAAAGAGAGAGCGAGTGGGAGGGAAAGAGAGAGAGAGGTAGGAAAAGAAGGAGTGAGGTAGGGAGAGAGAGAGTGTGTTTGTGAGTATGTGTGTGCGTGTGAGTGAGAGAGAGAAAGATAATGAGAGGGAGGGAGATATGAGAGCGAGGCAGAGAGAGAGACTTTGTCTCAGGAATAAGAGAGACAGAGAGAAAATTTGTATCAGGAATAAGAGAGAGAGAGAGAGAGAGAGAGAGAGAGAGAGAGAGAGAGAGAGAGAGAGAGAGAGAGAGAGAGAGAGAGAGAGAGAGACGCCTGCCATGGTTAGCAGCGCCAGACCCCAACCTGTCCGACTTGCAGTCCAATCCTTCTCCTTTATAACTCCGTGTTCTCAAGCGTTATTGCAAAGGTTATATAACAACAGCAAACATGCATTCAATGTCTACCGTAAAAAAAACAACAACATATATACGAATACCATCACATTCAGCCGAATGATTCCACGCCGTTTCTTTCTTTTCCGAAGTCCACTGCAGACCAAAAAAAAAAATAATCCTAAAGTGCTATGATTTCGTAGCTTGCCCTGTCATTCAGCAGCGCCGGACATGGGAACAGCAGCATGCCAGCGCTCACTTCCCGTCCAGCCACACCGAAGAGATTTCAGAGAGAAAATGAATGTAAATAAATCGAGTTAATTGTTTCTTATAGCGCCATCGTCCTCCCCGGCCCGGATCTCGGCTCTCTCAGAAAACGGACGCCATTTTGCAACCAACTCGGTAGGGGCAAGAGGGAGGGGGAGGGGGGTACGGGGGAAGGGAGGAGGGGGGGCACGAGAAAGGGGGAGGGGGATGAGAGGTGTAGTAGAGGGAAGGGGGGAGGGGGGACCTGAGGTGTGCTCGGTGGGGCGAACCAGAAAGGGGGTTGGTAGCTAGCTTGTGTGCCAAAGGGGGGAGGGGGGAGAGGGGGAGAAGAGGAGGGGTGAATGATACACGGCAATTCGTAAAAGAGATTTTTTTGTTTGTTTGTTTTGTTTTGTTTGTTTTTTTTTATTATTTTTCTTCATTTTCTTTTCCTTTTTCCCCCCTCCTTTTTTATTTTGTTAATTTTTTTATTTTGCATTGTTTTTGTTTTTTGTTTTTTGTTTTGTTTTTTAATGTCAGATGAAATGTCGGGGAAGTAAAAGGAATTAGAAAAGGAGGCGGTGTTCGGATACCAGAGAGGGGGGGGGGGCGGAGGCGGGGGGCGGGGGGCGGGGGGCGAAGGAGCCGGATATGAAGAGGACAGAAAGACGTGGAAAGGGGGGGAGGGGGATGAGGGAGGGGCGATGCGGGCAGGAGGGGAGGGGGAGGGGAGAGGAGAGGTGGGGAGGGGAGAGGGGAGGGACAGGGGAGGTTGGTAGGGGTATGGGGGGAAAGGCGGGGGGGAGGGGGTAAATGAGGTTATACTGCAGTGAGGACGCAAGGGCGTGCACATCCTTAAGCATGTGAAGAGAAATGGTGAAGACTAGGAGGCTGGGCTGGAGGAGGAGGTGGGTGGATTGGAGGAGGAGGAGGAGGAGGAGGAGGGTGGGTTGGAGGAGGAGGTGGGTGGGTTGGAAGAGAAGGAGGGTGGGTTGGAGGAGGAGGAGGAGGAGGAGGGTGGGTTGGAGGAGGAGGAGGGTGGGTTGGAGGAGGAGGGGGGTGGGTTGGAGGAGGAGGTGGGTGGGCAGGAGGAGGAGGAGGGTTGGCTGGAAGACGAGGTGAGTGGGCCTGAGGAGTAGGTGGGTAGGCTGGAGGAAGAGGGTGGGTTGGAGGAGGAGGAGGGTGGGTTGGAGAAGGAGGGGGGGTATAGGCTGGGCAGAAGGAGGACGAGGAGGAGAGAGAGGGACAGCGAAAAGGCAGAGAGGTAGAATGGTAGATAAATTGAAACGCAATCGAGGTGAAGACAGAAGGTAGAAAGTGAGGTTGACTTGACTGGTAAAAAAAAAAGAAAGGTATCTAGGAGAAATCCCACGTTTCTCTGTCTTCTCTCTCTCTCTCTCTCTCTCTCTCTCTCTCTCTCTCTTTCTTTCTTTCTTTCTTTCTTTCTCTCTCTCTCTCTCTCTCTCTCTCTCTCTCTCTCTCTCTCTCTCTCTCTCTCTCTCTCTCTCTCTCTCTTTCTCTCTCTCTCTCTCTCTCTCTCTCTCTCTCTCTCTCTCTCTCTCTCTCTCTCTCTCTCTCTCTCTCTCTCTCTCTCTCTCTCTCTCTCTTTCTCTTTCTCTTTCTGAAAATTATTATTACTGTTATTATCATTATTATTAACTTTATCATTGTTATTATTACCATTATCATAGTATTATTATTGTTGTTGTTATCGTTATGATTGCTACTATTGTTATTATCATAATTGTTATTATTATTATTATTATTATTATTATTATTATTATTATCATTATTATTATTATTATTATTATTATCATTATTATCATTATCATCATAAGTAGTAGTATTGGTGATTGTTATTATTTTTTGTTATTATTGTTGTAGTTGTTACCGTTATTGTTATAGTAATTATTATTGTTATCATTGGCAGCAGTAATAACATTATTATTTCATTTTTATTTTTTTATTATTATTACTATTATAATTATTATCATTATTATTATCATACTACTATCATTATTTTTGGTATTATTATTATTGTCATTATCATCTTTTTATCATCACCATCATCATCATCAGTATATCATTAGCATTATCCGTTATTTTCTTATTTTTTCTTACCTATTTTCTTACCTTTTCTTCTCCCTTTGCTTTCTCCCCATCATTCTCCATTTTCCTATTTCCTTTCTTCTCTCCCTTTCCTCGTCCGCTTTTACCTTTTCCAACCTTGCCCGTCTCTCTTTTTTTTCCTCCCTTTCTCCCTCCTCCCCTTTCCAAATTTACCTTCTCCCTCTCTCTTTTTTTTTATTCCTTTCCTCCCTCCCTCCCCTTTCTTTATCCTTCCCCCGATCTCCTCCCAGATTCCTTTTTGGATTACTTAAGAAGGATTGGATGATGAAATCCCTTCCTTTTTAGGCCTAACTTGGCCAGACCACGTGGCGTCTCGCTGAAGCATTTTCCTAAGTCTTCATTTTCCTTCCCTAAGGCGTCCTCATTTCCGATTCATTTTTCCTCCTTTTCTCTCGGTTTCTTTCTTTCTTTTGAAGTCCGTTTTTTTCTTTGTTCTTTTCAGATCTTTGCTTTCACGGGGAATCCCCAAATTATGGTGGTTCTCCTTCTCTCTCTTCTCTCTCTCTCTCTCTCTCTCTCTCTCTCTCTCTCTCTCTCTCTCTCTCTCTCTCTCTCTCTCTCTCTCTCTCTCTCTCTCTCTCTCTCTCTCTCTCTCTCTCTCACTCTCTCTCTCTTTCTCCATTCCCTCTCCCTCTCCCTCTCCCTCTCCCTCTCCCTCTCCATTCCCTCCCCCTCCCCCCCCCCCCCCTCCTCCTCCTCCTCCTCCTCCTCCTCCTCCCCCTCCTCCTCCTCCTCCTCCTCCTCCTCCTCCTCCTCCTCCTCCTCCTCCTCCTCCTCCTCCCCCACCTCCTCCTCCTCCCCCTCCTCCTCCTCCTCCTCCTCCTCCTCCTCCTCCTCCACCTCCTCCTCCTCCTCCTCCTCCTCCTCCTCCTCCTCCTCCTCCTCTTCCTCCCTCCCTTCTTTTTCCCGCCAAAACGAAAATGTTGCCGCGACGTGACAACCAGACTTCGAGCAGATATCTGAGAAAGAGACCAACAAATAGAGAGAGAGAATCGTGTTTTCCAGGACTTTTAAAATGTTCCACGAAACTTAAGAGACCGGAAAAGACCACACGTCGGAAAAGACCTGCGATAAAAGAGACCAAATTATTTTAGTCGCGGAAAGACTAGTCGAGAGACCGCATTCACAACCTCAGTTTTCACACGATCGGATGCCTTGCAGTTGAAGATGTGGTCTTGAGTTTTGTGATATGATCGTGCGATATATTTCTTTGTCGGGCGATTAATTTTCCTTTGTCTTCATCTTTACTTTCACTTTAATTGTCTTTTCTTTTTCTTTTTTTTCTTTTAAATGACTGTAATTCAAAATCTCATCATTTTTTTTCCTATCATGAATTGATTATTCTAATGAAAAGTATATCGTACTAATTAATCAGAAAATGGTTGACAGGGGGCGGGGGGTAATTGAGGCTTAGTTTTCTGTCATTAAGAAAAAAATAATTTAAAAAGTGGCGTTTCCTACGTGGCAGTGATCAGGAAACCGAATGACATTGGTAATTAGATATTTAATAAGGGAGACAAAATCTAAGCATTCTTATCGCCACATTTCGCATTCAACATTAGAGTCACATCATTAAAAAAAACAACTTTATTCACTTATATTCCCTTAATGATCTTTCCCTTGCATTATCGGGAGGGAAAATGTGCTTCGGCTGCTAACCAGAGACCACATAACGTCATAGGCTGTTGCAATGATGTAGGTCACCTTACATTTTTGCATTTGAAGGAAGAGTGTAGTTGTATATATTGCTTGTGTTTGTGTGTGTGTGTGTGTGTGTGTGTGTGTGTGTGTGTGTGTGTGTGTGTGTGTGTGTGTGTGTGTGTGTGTGTGTGTGTGTGTGTGTGTGTGTGTGTGAATGTGTATGCATGAGTGTGTGTGAAAGTTAGAGAGTGAGTATGTGTTATTCTAAATTAGAACATAATTTTTTTATTCTGCAAATCAATTCCAGAATTCAAAATAATCATTCAAGCTATAAATCCCTTGTATTTCATTCGTATTTTTCCAAATTGCAATTTTCCCCTGCATGTTGCCAGAAGCACGATGCCTAACAGCCTTCTCTCCCCCCAGGCCGCCGACAGCCTCCGGGGCGCCGCCTGATGTTGGTGCCTCGGGCCGCTCCAACCTGCGCCATGCCTGCTGCTTCGCCCTCCCGCCCCACCCCCGCCGCCCCCAGGCCCTTCACGCCCGCCCCGGGGTACGCCCAGTACCACATGGCAGTGGTACATGCGTCGCATATGCCCACTGGGTATGGCAGCCGACCTTCGCTCCCCAGCCCGCGGTACCTCGGAGTGCCACCTGGCAACCACCTGGCAGCGGCACTCACTCAGCCGTCGCCCCCAGGGCTGCCCAGGTCACGCTCGCCGCGCCCTTCCCTCCAATACGAGGCTGTGCAACCCCCGGCGAGAGTCATGCCGCCCGCATTTCGCCCTGTGGGCATCCACGGCGCCCTCAGCTCGCCCAAGCAAGCGTCCGTTTGCCCCGAGGCCCGAGGCTCGTACCCGGCGCCCGAGCTCCCTGAGAGCCACCCCGTGCAGTGGCCCTCCGACGCCCCCCTGCCCGGCTCCGACATGCCCTTCGACCTCTCCACGCACAACCGGGAGCCCCGCATGTCGCCAGCCTCCAGGCCCCTTGACCTCTCGGAGTCGGAGCAGCCGCTCGACCTCCGGGTGAAGAAGAGGCACCAGGAGGAGGACGAGAATATGAACATCGTCGTGCGTCGGACGCCGCCCACGCCGCCCCGACGGCCCGTCTCACCCAAGTACGTGAGTGCGAGCCACGGGTTCCGCTCGCCGCACCAGCACGAGGCGCCGCCCGCGCCCGTGGAGAGCGAGCACAAGACCAGCAGCCTCCCGCTGGTGCATGTGACCAGCCCGGTCAGCACGCGCACCCCACCCGTGGTGTATCCCCAACCAGTCCATCAGCCCGTGCACCACCCCGTGCACCACAGTGTGCACCAGAGTGTACATCAGACTGTGCACCAGCCTGTTCCAGTGTACACTGAATGTCGACCTCTACCTCCGGCTTCGTCTGTCAGGCCGCCTTACCCCATGATGGGTCTTCCTCACAACGCCTACCACCTGGGCCCGCCCGCCGGCTCCCCGCAAATGGTGGCCGGGTACAGAGGGCCTCCGCCCGGACCGCAGGGTCATCCTGCCCTCTACCAGGTCGTCGGAGACCGCATGCCGAAGGGCGTGACCCCGCACACGGAGCCCCATGGGCCGTCCCCAGTCCTGCCAGGGATGTCAACCGCGAAGCCGCGCGAGCGCTACGCGTGCAAGTTCTGCGGCAAGGTGTTCCCGCGCTCGGCCAACCTGACGCGGCACCTGCGCACGCACACGGGCGAGCAGCCGTACAAGTGCAAGTTCTGCGAGCGCTCGTTCAGCATCTCGTCCAACCTGCAGCGCCACGTCCGCAACATCCACAACAAGGAGAAGCCGTACAAGTGCCGCCTCTGCGACCGCGCCTTCGGCCAGCAGACCAACCTGGATCGCCACATGAAGAAGCACGACTCCGACGGCCCCACGATCCTCGATGGCAGCCCCAAGCGGTACACGTCGCGGCCGCGGGAGGAGGCGACGACGACAGTCTCCGAGGAGAAGGATTCCTGCGACCTCAGCGGGTCCTTGGAGAGCCGCAGTGACATGATTGGCCCCGAGGAAGACGACGAAGAGGACGAATACATTGATGTCGAGGAAGAGGACGAGGACGACGATGAGGAGGACCTCGGAGAGAAGGAGAGAGAAAAAATATCCTGTGCCGTGACCATAAAGTCCTCGGCGACTCCCATGGAAGTCGACGGCGCCGAGGCCATGGTGCAGCCCGTGGCCGTCATCACAGCGTGATTCTTTTCTTCTTCTAGTGCATCCTAAAAGTGTCCTCAGAAAAGTATCAAAGTCTCGAGTGTAGGACAGGGATCACTGTTAAGATGAACGTTTAGTCACGGGCAGTTGACCAGAAACGTTTGGTCCTTGAGACATTATCTGTACCAAAACACCAAGTGATGCCATTGCGGAGACCATATCTTAGCAGTGAGAATTGTTTCCTATCGAATGACATACATAATGACTACCTAAAGTTCAATCTTCTCGTTCGATGAGAGTTGGTTGAACGTGGTTGTGAACACGGAAGAAGGAAAAGCAAAGACAATTCAGGAAGTGTCTCACTCTCTGTCTTCGAACTTCTTATTTAAGCCTTAAACTCTTCCTGCTGGAATTGATTTCTTGTACAAATTTCCGACCAACTCACGCGTATGGGTAACAGAGTGCAACATACCTTAGTCCGGCCAACTTGAGAAATGAAGGTTCCTTGTGAATTGTTATATATTTTAGGTATATATACTTGAAGCCAATGTGCTCACAGACATTGAGAGAGAGAGGAAGTATCTGTAATTTTTAAGTAGCCCACTGTAGTACAACTAGCCTAAGTGCATCGCCGTAGTCAAACACCAACTATAGGTTCACGCTTAAATATGTCTCCTTCACCCTTTTCCTCGTCAGTCCCATCCTTTATTATCTTTTCCTACCCTGAAAATCCACGTTACGACGTTTCAAAGCCAGATGTTATAAAGAAAAACTCTGCTCCCTTGAAACCCCTTCGTTGGAAAACAGCTCCCCAGGGCCATCTGGAAACTCGTCGCCCAAACACTGCAGAGGGAATCCCAGCCTCTGCCCTGAATACCCTGCTTCCCACCCTGTCTCCCTTACGTGCCTTGTTACAGCTAGAGCAACAGCAACGGGTCTTCAAGATGATCAGGGACATGGTCTCGGCCGCTCTGAGGACGTCTGGTCGTCAGGTTGCCCCGACTGCGACTGCCATGACTGAGATGCTAAAACCTCGTTCTTTAGGCTTTAATTTGTCATCCGTCGGAGATCTGTGCAACTTTCTGCAATATTTGTAATGATTTCCAAAAGACCCCGTCTATACGCCCTTTCTCTCTATCTCTCTCTCTGTATCTATATCTATCTACCTATGTATATTTTTATATTTATCTTTTTATATGTCTACTTGTCTGCCAATCTAATCATCTGTCTATCTATATCTATTTATCTATTTATCTACCTATCCATATTTGTCTCGATCTATCTCCTGTCCCTCTCACATAACATTCGCCTGGAGTTCTAACTGACATTTAAATGAGCATAGTTATATATCCTATCTTGATATGATCAACGTTGTTGTCTATATATGTTTGAAGCTGCCATTTAAATATGTCAGATTATTTTCTCGAGATCTGAACGACCGTAGTGTATAATTGTTTCCGATGTTTTTCATCATCTTCCCAGTCTAATTCAACTTTCCTTTCTCCTTCGCTCACTCCTTGGACGTAAATGACGAGACGCATGGCTTCGTGGTAAATTCTGTTGCCATCTAAATTCGTAGATATTAAACTTATCTCCATATCGTAAAACTGACTTCTGAAAGATGTGGCACAGTCACCTCGAAACTATCATCTGCCACGAGATACAAAAGTGAGGTATCCATACTAGTGTCATAATATTTCGTGTATTAGTGGATGCCACATCTTAAGACCTACCATACCCTTATATTACACGTCTCTCTAGCACTCCAAGTCAAAATACTCCCAAGGAACAAGAGCTTCGATACTGAAATTCGAATTTCGCCCCCCTCAGAATGTGAATATACTTGTCACATATACATAGATGACTATACAAATGAAGATATACATATATTTACATATAGGTCAGTACAAGCATGATATAGTCGCAGCCGATGTGTCATATATAGACGATATATTTTCCTCTCGTGAGTTAGAATGTATAATGATTCTGTAATCTTGTATAAGCCTCAAACTGTATTAGAGAGGCCTCGCTAGTCACAGGCGATCGCATGGTGCTAAAATGAGATTTAAAATTTATGATATATTAAAGACCTTTTATGAAATTATTCTTACTGTAGATATAAGAGAAAACACAATTTGTTAGTTTTGGAAATAAATATGACA